CCCGTGTGCTGTGATAGCTTAAACATGTGCAAATATTTAACAGCACATTCTTTGCGTCCTTCGGCCAATCAAACGCAGCCTATTCACTGCAGCTTTAATGAGCAGGCAGTCTAAATTAGTGCACACTGTATAGGACACATCGGCTCTGCTGAAAACCTAATGAACAGGAAGCATATAACATGCAATCTTATGAAAAGTAATTGCTGACATGAGTTAAACTTCTTAATGGAAGAAACAAATGAAAAGCTTGATGGAAAAGGCACACACACGAGTCAGCATCACGAGTTTAATATATGGTTGTTAATGCCCTGGCCTTTTCTCCAGTTACCGCTATCCAGCCAGGCTTCCAGAGACCGTCCCTCTGGGGCCCATTAACTGTCAGTGTCACATTTAACCGCCTTGGGGGTGGTGTTTCTACAGCTGCTCAGCTGCTTTTCCTTGTGTTTTTACAGGGGAAGGCTCACTACGCAATGAGAGCAGGTGGTGGCAATATGCTAAACCCAAACGAACGCAGCATTGCTCTTAGTCTTCAAATGAAGCTTCGTTGTTCAGTTAATGTTGGGTTTGTGTTACTATATGAGCCCTCTGAAGATTAAGAATCAAAGTCGCGTTTGCCATTGATGAACTTTTCAGCTGCCACTAAAATAGAGACGCTAATAATTATTATTATATCGATCTGTCGTGGCGGGCACAGTATTACTGGACTCAGCTGAATACAGAACAGATGATGAATATTAATTATTATAATTATCAATGCGCCAGCTTACACAGACTGTATACAATTAAATACATGAAAGGGAAACTCGGAGTAAGGTGGCTATATATCTTACACACAGAGAGTTTTGTAGCAAAAGTCTCCAAGCCAACCTCTGGGACCCGTGTAACGTACACCTCACACACCTGGGGGGGTTACAGAACACCCTTGAAATGACCACAAGCACATGGCGAAGCTGTTCCAAGCCATGAGTCACCACCGTGCATTGAGCAACAGGCCCACTCCTGCCAACGGAACTTGATATCTTCTCCCTGAGATGGGCCAGATCTTTTAAACCTGGTTGTGTACACTATGGCTGTTAGCATACATTAGGGATGCTCCGCTTATGCTATTTATAGCGAGCGTATGTGCGCTTGCAGAAATCTGATGAGTTAAGGCACCAGTGAAAGGGGTAAATGGAAGAGTGCTGTAAGCAGGGGCATGGTTGTAATTTGTGACCAATGATAAGCCGAGCATCCGTGTTGACAATTGAAAAAAACAGTGATTGAGCTTAGATCAACAGATGTCATGCACTCAGTCAATCTATATAAAATGATCACCAGCCCCCCCCCCCACTCCTCTACTAGCTCTGTCAACTCTTCACATAACCACATAAAGAAGCGAGCCACTTACATGACTTGCGACAGAGACCATTGTCACGGTGGCTTGTGATGCCAGCCGTCACCCCGGACCAGATGCAGATAACCCGTCTCACAATCCATCCGTTCCATTTCGTTCCATTTACACTCATCATCCGGAATTCCGCTCCCGTCCCACTGAGCAAAAGAAGGAGGGTTGTGTTTTATCTCTACTTTAATCCCCAAAGTGCTTTTGCATGACACCAAAGGAGATGCCTGGCAGACAAGAGACCTATTATCTGTTTGAGTGTGGGGTGGGGGGGAAATCTCTCGTGCATGCAACGGCTTAAAGCGTACAGTAAGCGAAGTGAAATTTTGCGTAAAAGATAAACACCTGTGTTCAGGTCTGCTTGTGCTGGTATACTTAAAAAAAAACAAATCTCCATTCTTGTGATTTGTACGAATGATTGTTTTGGAAAAAAAATCAGCTTTGTATTGCCAAACTAAAGCAACAGTGAGACACGAACTGGGTTGCAATTACAGTTGTGCGGTTTACGCTACTTAGTTCTGGACAGTTAGTTGATTGGAAGGTTGTTGGAGCAGGGTCAAGTGTGGGTACTCTTACGTCTGACCTTGGTGGAAGAGTAGGCCAAATATCCTCGAGTGGTGCTCTCGACCCACTCGAGGGCTCCCTCTTGTGGAAGCCCTTTTACCAGCAGCCGCGTGAGAATGCATTTGCAGGGCTGTCCCTTTACCATGAACACGTTTATGTGCGCTGCTAAACTGAAAATGCTATATCATCATCAGCCTTGGTCAATGCACTGCTGGAAAGAGGTCTCAATAAGAAGCCACCACCTCCCGCGATGTAATAATCCACCCAGCTCCTGCACAGGAACTGATTTCATCACTCCATCTCCCCTGGTGGTCATCCATCTCGGAAGCATTCCATTATTTGGCTGCAACTCCATTACAATTCTCGACCATCGTCCATAATCCTATCTCGATACATCTCATACCAAAGCCTGTTTACTTAATAGTTTGGACGATACTTTTTTTAAAGCAACGCATGTTCTCTGACTCACGTGTTCTTTCTGTCTCTCAATATCACTTCAAGCATGCATCTCTCCATGCTCTCTTTGTACATTTGTCAGTTTTGTTCCATATTTTTTCAGTTAATGATCGTGTTTCTGAACAATATGTCATCGTAGATAGAACACACTGATCACAACTGTCTTCTCTCGTCACATTGCCCTCTTACTTTTCATAATAAAGTTCAGCTTTCCAAAGCACTCCAACCTGCTCTCCTCCACTTATCTATTTCATTTGTTTGATTCCAGTGCGGTGTCAGTAGCTGTCCCAGGTACATATACTCTGTCGTGTTTGCTTTTAGTATCCCTCTGACAGACATCTTCAATTTTGTAGCGAACTTGTTTGAACTTTGTTCTGTTCATAGTTACCATGTGCTCAACTGTTCAGCCTTTTTATATAACGTTATTGCAATTTCCTTTGCAGTTCATTCCCAATGGATGGTATAATGATTGTTGTCAGCAAATGTAAGATGATTAGTGTTTTGCCACATTAGTATTCATGCCTTAAAATGATCCAATCCAATTTTCTGAAAACATGCTCAGTCTTTTAATAACTTTGGGTGAAAGCACTTTAAAATCTAAATTGAAAACTAATTTCTTCAAAACTTATTTTTGTGTTGAGTTTGTTGTCCTTCCCCTGCACCTCCGATTAGCACGGTTGGCCACTTACGGTGTGAAAGAAGTTCATCATACATACAAAGCATGTCACCTTATCTGACTCCCCTTTAATACGTATGTTGGTACATACGTATTAAAGGGATGTTTTCGTACTTGTAAATGTATTTTATTATTTCTAAATATTTTTTTACTCGGGCCTTGGTTTATGAGAGCTTGGATGACTGTCAGTTTATACTGAGTCGCATGTTTTCGCATAGTTTACCATTGCTAGGCACAATAGTAATTAATTCTATACTCTATGGTTCTTTCAGTAAAGTCGCGTTGATAGAAAAAAATAAAAAATATTAAAAATCTCACGACGTTTCGATTGAAACGCCGTGATATTTTTAATCTCTTTATTTGTATTATTATTTTTTCTATCTACGTGACTTTACTGAAAGAAGCATAGAGTAAGAATTCCTGCAGTCACGAAAGTTTTAAGTCAGTAATTATAATGCATTGGTATTTTTTTCAGAATATGATAATGTCTGTGGTCACTGGTAGAGAAAGCGTTCTGAAACTCTGCTCACTTCTGTGATTGTCCCCAATGATCTTCGTATTTAATTATTAAGGAGTGGAATGTTACGCGTGACAAATGATTTATAACTAACCATCGACACAAGAATAAAAAGTCACGTTCAAGCAATAACAGATGTGTTCGGCTTCTCCCCCATTGCATCTTCGCCCAACAATGCAAAATGAATGTCATTACTTGTGATTGTTGCATTGATGCAAGACGAATCACTAATAAAGCGACGTCAAGATCAATAAAAAATAAATGTGCATCACAAACATGTTACATTGCACTTTGGCCTTTACAAATCACTGGGGCGATGACGGTGATAAAATACAATTCCATCATTCATCGTTGTCGTGATGACTATTCTTCGTGTTGAAGCTACAATGAAGATGCAATGGTAGGTTTCATCATTAGAGGGCGATGGTGTCCCAACATCTCCAGCCAGGGCATGCGGTTGTTGTGTGAGCAGCAGCAGCAGCAGTCCATCCACAAAGTGCAGCAGCAACTTCCCCTTTCACGTGGCGAGTGAGATCGCTTTTTTTTAGTTTACGGTCTATGGATCCCACTTACAGCCATAGTGTGGCCATAAAGCCGTGTTATTACTTCGTGTTAACGTATACGTGCATATTAGAATTCAATACACGCCGTTCGCTTGCGCGAAGGGGGCAATTAGTATGCCGTGTATTGCCGCAGTCATCAGCACTTTGCAAACGTTGGTAGGTGACACGTGGAGACTGCGTGGCTTATCACACCGCCGCCAACAACTTGACACAAGGTGCACGCCGACAAAGCTCTTGCCCAGCTGCAATGTGCAATCGCTTCTCGAGCGATGAATCTCATCGCCAAATACAGTCGATTCAATCAGAATAAATATCTCGCACACAAAACCTACCGCCGACACGTGCGACGCTCAACATTCGAAAAAAATATGTTTGTTGTTTTAATCGCCTAATATCCGCGTCAACGTCAGGCGAATGAAAAGAGTCATTGACAGTTAATTAACTGTTATCTCGTCTCCGCGCTCCTATGGCCGTTCTTGTTTATTTTGAGAGCTGTCACCTGTAATGAGTGAATGAATGAATGGAGGGTGGGGGGGAGGGGGGAGGGAGGAGGGGTGCCACCCCCCCCCACACACGCCCCCCCCCCTCAGTCTACTTCCCAGAGGTGGGCGTTGATACTCCGCCGCCTCCGCGTCGAACGGACGCAGCCGATTGGCTCTTAGCTTGAGACCACGCCCCCCCGTCGCCGTTCGCGCGATGCGATTGGCCGCCGGCCTCCCTCCCCCTCCCCCTTTGACGGGTGGCGGGTGGACGTGTGTGTGGGGGCGTGGCCAGGTTCGCCCCGCCCAACCCGCCGTGGCGATGACGTAACGCCTTAAATAGCGCGGGAAGGGAAAGGTGCGTGCGGCAGTGGCAGCAGCAGCAGCAGTGCGGTGCAAGCCTCCTCCTCCTCAACCCGCGCTTTAGCCGACCACGCGGTCTTTCCGAAGCGCTCGCCCTCCCTCATAGTCGCTTAAAGCCTTGCTGCTGTTGTTATTGGAGAAACGTGGAAAGAAAACAACTTACGATTTAGCACCCTAACCCCCCTTCCCCTTATCAACCACCCCCCCCCCCGGATTTGAGAGGGGTTTGTCAGTTTTCAGAGCGCCGCAGAGGGAACTATTGAATCGCCGATAGCAATTACGACGACTGTACCTCACGGGGTGGGTGTGTGGGGTGGTGTGTGTGGGTTGGTATAGCGTAGCCGCGAGCAGTTGAATCTTGATTTAGGGGAGCGAGCGACGAGATCTATATAGATGGTACAATACCCATTTATCACAAAATCTGGATTTCCTTTGGCCGTCTGCTGTAGTCGACTGGCAAAACACGAAGCGTTTTGTCCGACGAAGCAGTGGCCCCGTGTCTCCTACTGCGTAAGCGGCGACTGAAAGGAAACTGCTGCCGATTGCTGCTGCTGCCGATCGTCTAAGAGTTACGGGAGCACAGATCCAACATGTGAGTTGTTTTTACTCCCCCCACCATCCACCTTCGGGATTGTTGCGTGCATGGCTCTTGTAACTTTATAACCTTCTCTCCATTACTCCCTCCTCACGTGTGCCGCCTTCGTTTTCCCGCTCCTCGTTGTCGTGTCGTGTGTTGGTACACCAATCATAGCAGCAGCAGCAGCAACCACGAGATATGTTCACGAACTCCCACACGTCAATGGTGAAGAGGGTCTTTGCTGCTAACAATTACGAGAGTGCTTAGGCAGAGAGAGAGAAAGAGAGATATGGTTCGTGCACTTTTGCTCTGCTTCCTCCTCCTCCGTCGAAGGTGCGCAAGCAACAACTTGCATACAGTTACCCTGTGCTTTGGGTTTTAATGACCACAATCTCACTACCGTGGCTTTATATACATCAGATGTTTTCCCCCAAATATCAGAATCGTAACAGCAGCAGAGTGTCGTCTGCCATGTATAGTGCGCGTGTGTTGCTACTTTTAAAACCATCAACAGTGGTGGGAGATGTGGGTGGTGGGTGGTGGTGTATTTGTAGGTTATGGGAACCAACCCGTGTATATATCTGTTTAGTTCCACGGAAGAATTAAATCTATAAATCACCGGCCCGCCCCCCCCCCCCCCTTTTTTTTGCGAGCTTATTTGATTGCTTCAATTTGTTAGGAATGTGCATCCAATTACTCGTGGCTGAGCGATTACTCGACGCTCTGTGGCGGCGGTGCGAGAGGGCCGGGCGGGCAGACGCTCATTAAAAGGTGCGCACAACACAACGGCACTAATTGCTGACGTCTTTAAAGGCTCCGTGCTACTTGCTGCTGCTGCTGGCTGCTCGGGGTTGTTAGTCATCTCTTGAGTAAGGAAGGAAGGATGGGGTGGGTGGGTGGAGTGGGGTGAGGGGCCCAAACGTGTTTTTGTTGTTGTGCTTGAGACGTGCTGCCTGGTTGGTTTGGGGTGCTAGTGTATGTCAGTGGTGTGGTGTGGTTTGTGTTGTCTCTGTTGTGGTGGTGTGGTGCTGGTTGGGGCTAGTTTGTGTTGTGGTGCTGGTTGTGTGTGTCTCTGTTGTGGTGTGGTGCTGGTTGTGTGTGTCTCTGTTGTGGTGTGGTGCTGGTTGTGTGTGTCTCTGTTGTGGTGTGGTGCTGGTTGTGTCTCTGTTGTGGAGTGGTGCTGGTTTGTGTTGTGTCTGTTGTGGTGGAACGCTGGTTGGGGCTACTGTGTGTTGTGGTGTGGTGCTGGTTGTGTGTGTCTCTGTGCTGTGGTTCTGGTTGGGGCTAGTGTGTTATGGTGGGGTACTCGTTGCGGTGTGTCTGTTCTGGTGGGGTAGTACTAGTTGGCTAGTGCGTGTGTGTGTGTGGTGGGGCGCTGGTTGGGAGTCGTGTGTGTTGTGGTGGAGTGGTACTAGTTGGCTAGTGTGTGTCTGTTGTGTTGGGGTAGTACTAGTTGGCTAGTGTGTGTCTGTTGTGGTTGGGTACTGGTGAGAGCTGTTGTGTGTGGTGGCGGACTACTAACAATATTTGCCCCCCAAACGTTCTCTTCAATGCTATAAGGGCCGTCCTTGTGTGTTCCAAGGTGCCTCGCTCTAAACAGCACCTGCCCCCAACAGTCTGTTCATTGCTGTACGGGGGAACTTTTGTTCCAACCAGCAAGCAATCATTAATGGATTGCAATTAAATGCTGCTGGTATGCTTGGCTTTTGGGTTTGGGATTTGGTGGAGGCTGTTTGGGTTTGAGTGTGAGGCTGCTCTTCCAGGGCTGTCTAAAAAGTAGAATTGTATAGTTATTAACAGACCCTCCCCCCACACCCTACGTTCACTAGGATGGAGATGTGATCTACTTAATGTGTGACTGTACAGTAGTGAAGACTGAATAGTCGTAATGTGTGGTATAACAGTAAACACGTTCGTTGGGAACAGTGGTAACGTGGTCTTCGTGTGTAAGTGTACAGGAAAGACTCCTCCTACTTTGTGAATAGAGTAGGAATGTGGCCTTGGTGTATAGTAATTACCAAAGTAATTAAAGGACACCCCCTACATTGAATAGGTGGCAATGCTGTGTGTGTGTGTGCTGCTGGTACTGTCGTTGGAGCAGCAGCGTGCTTGTGGGCGACTGCGTGCGCTAGTTTAGCTTAGTGGGGGGGAGGGGAGTCTTCTCTGCATGTGTTCACCTTTGTAGTTGGAGAGTTTGATGTTGGCGTCATTGAATACCCATTGATTTAGGCGTGAATGACAGCTGTTGTGTTTGGGCTGAATCTCGCGTTCGCGTCGGTGTGCGGAACGTGCGGTGCCTACAGCGCTCTTGCACCAGAATATAATTTTGTTCAAGGTGTCAACTTGCGAAAGATTTTTTTCCCCCCAATTACATCTCAATGGGTTGACACCTGTTTGCGAATCCATGATGGATTTTGTAGTACGTTCGCGTATATACATATATATTGTGCGTAAATACACGCGGTGTTATGTAAACAGTATTGTGTGTCATGCGCTTGAAATTTAGCAGTGTCATTCACTCAAACCCACGCGCTCCCTTGAATGTCTCTGTTTAATTTCCCTCGGTGGCGAGACGTTAACTACCTCGCCTGGTACGCAGGAGGTCGTGGGTTCGATCCCGACCCTGACGCCTGTATATTTGTCGTTAGCATGTTCTTCCCGTGGTCGCGTATATTTTTATGTGGGTCCTCCGGTTTTCCCCTCCACATTTAGAAACATATTTTGGAGTATTTGGCTGATGTACATTTCTACATGATAAGCCACTTCGTTGAGGTATCATTTTTGGCCAGGTCGCTTCTGAAAAAGAACTATACAGCTCATTGTGGGCCTTAGCTGGTGAAATAAAAAATATATATACTTGGATCCACCAAATTCCACCATCGCAACTTTACCTCCACCCATCCCTGACCACACACACCTCTCCACTCTTCCCCAACTCCCCTATCATCTTCTCCAACCCCCTCTCCTCCTTCCTGCCCATTGAACCACTCAACCGCCCACTCTTCCATCCACCTTCACTCCCACCAACACCCACCCCACATAAACTCCTTCCCGCGCCCATCATCCTGCTCTGTTGTCGTCCCATGTGTGTGTGTGTTTGCATGGTGGTGGACTCCTCCAGAAGTGTCCACTCCTTCTCGGGATGGTGAACAGCCAGTGCCCCGAGCCGCAGGCCACCGGGCCCCCCAAGCGGTGTGCCGGCTGCGGTGGGAAAATTGCTGACCGGTTCCTGCTCTACTCAATGGATTGTTACTGGCACAGCCGTTGCCTCAAGTGCTCTTGCTGCCAGGCGCAGCTTGGAGACCTGGGCACGTCGTGCTACACCCGTCAGGGCATGATCCTGTGTCGCGACGACTACATCAGGTTGGTTGGTGGTTTATAACCCGCGCGCAGGAGAGCTGTCGCTCCGTGTTTACAATGGGATGTCATACGTGCCACTTAAATGTGCACCTTTAATAAAACATTCAACTCAACATTGTTTTGCTGCCGCTTAGGTCCATCTCTCGCAAGCACACACACACTCACATTCTTAAGTCTGGAAAATGCCTGCGGCTCAGAGCCAAAGTCAGTTTTTCTGATGAGATAAGGCCACACGAAAAGTTTATTGGGCAATATATTTATGAAGTGCACCTTGCACAGCCAATGTGGTTTTGTAGAGGCCAAACATTCTGAACTTGTGGGCCCATAAGCCACATTACTTAAATCCAGTTTGTAATCTTCTAGCAACTTTTCTTTCTTTTCAATGTTTACTGGATTCTCCATCTGCAAAGCATGGGTAACATGCAGTTGTGTAGGTTAATTGTTGATTGGTTTGAGGTGTGGGTATACCACCCTGAACAACACTGAGTGGACTAAGTGTTTGCAGTCAAGTTGCCGAGGCCGTCTTGCCAGCAGTGACACTAACACAATGTAAAGAACATACATGATAAGCCTTTTGCGTTCTTGCAGTTGCAAACAAATACCGTGATGAAGTATTCTAATGCACAGTATTTTTTTGTAGTCAGGCTTCTAGTCCATAAAATGTTGGCTAAAGGTAGTAATACTTATGACCTGGAGAGTCTGCACTCTCCTGGTGTAGTAAAGCAATCAAGGAACAATTTATTGTATCTTTAATTGATCCCTCGTACATTAGAGGCAAACCTAATTCTCGGTGTATGGTAAGGCAGATATTAAAAAAATGTATTTTCTCAGGGTGGAAATGTTACATTTATACTACTGCACTTGTACATATTCCTCCTTTCAAAGTGAGGTTTCGGCAAGAAATCAGTTTGTGTACTTTAAGTATAAGCTGCGTATATATAACAAAAACATTATTATCGAGAAGTACGTAGACTTGGACATGGCCCAGCAGTAGCACATTCGCTGCTTTTTGCAGAGGTTCACGGTTCGAATCAAGCAGCCGCCCTTATTATTGCTGGTGGTGTGCATTAACCATACATTTACGTGCCCTCTGCTTCACAGTGAACATTAAGGCTTTCCTGACGTCCGTCGCAAGAGTAGGCCATTGTGTGCTGGCATCAGGGTCCAAATTCGCCTCCTTTGAATGTTAGCCGCCAATTATTCAATTGAGATTATACATGGCAATCACCGGCAGACTAATGCCCCAGGTCACTCTTACATACGACGCATCCTGGTCTGTATGTGTGTATTGTATGTTGATATATATATGTTGAACTTTCGCACGGAATGTAGCCAACCGTGCTAATCGGAGGTGGACAAACAAAATACACTCAATCTGGAATTGGAATTAAACATTTTTTGCATACTCTGTATGCAATTAAGATTGTTATGTAAATAGTTGTCGACTGATGTATTTAATAATAAACATTAATTTTAATAATTGTATAATACTTCCATTTATTATAGGGATTGATTTGGACCAAGGCAGCTGCAAAAGCTAAACATTGGTACATTTTGCTGGCTTATGTGCACAAGATGCACAATGTACAACAAGAGTTTGTGTAGAAACTTAGCCGTATTTTACCACTTAAGATATTACTGAAACATTCGACACACGACATCTTGGGAAAAGGTGTTTAACAGTCCTGTAAATAATTTCCCTATATTGTAACTTTGAATGACACTGGCTATATGCAGCGGAGTTTAATAAAACTGGTGGCAGGAAGTTAACAAAAATAAAAATGTGTGAGTGTGACTGCTGCCAACTACTGTACAGTCATTTGTAAACTTCTTAGCGCGTTGCCAGCACACCTGCATCAGGGTCCAATATATATTAAAGTTTTCAGTCATAAGCCTTCTGGCCATAGCAACCTGGAAAAATACATACGTTTTGACTATTGCCGAAGCACATATATAGTGCTCCAATTCACTCGTTTGATAATTGTTGAACTGGTAATGAATTTTTTTTGTAGGCACTGGAATCTCTTGATGCAGGTGGTCAAGCAATTTCAATATTAAATGGAAATGGAGCAGTAGGGTAGCTCAAAGTTTCTCGTTGGGCTTTGTTTAGGGGTAATTCAATCATTGAGATATAAAACCACAAGCAGTAATCCAACTCCGTGGTGCCTTTGGGTTTTAATGGGAAATTTAGAATAGGAGATGACCACACTGATAAACGGACATGGTAAAATTGAGCCAAAGGCTTTACTCTTGGGATTACGTAATGAAAAAATAAAGATCCCATCAGATGAAGTAGGAGCACGGCTCACCTGCTCTGGATATACAGTGGCTGAGGTTGATGGATCGTCCGAGAGAGGGGACTTGTATCCACATATCTATCGTCCATCACCAGTGTTTTGTTAACCATCAGGTCAAGGCATTTCAAGGCATTATGCTGAGCAGGTGTACAGCCATTCAAAATGCAGCCTAATCTCTCGTAAAGTAATCGGTTCGTGTTGTATGTAAAGCCTATAATGATTTGCTAAATTAATTACGAAGCCCTTGCATCTTTTAATCTCATTGTTATCTTGCGCTAGTGGAATTGCATTAAATGTTAGGCTGCGATAGGAGACATTATTTTCATCCACCAGTACAGGGTGCTTAATTTATGGTACAAAATTTAATGCCATTTTATGGAAAACATTCATTTTAATTTTAGAACGTTATTAAGCCGTTCACGTGACTCGCAAAATCTGGGTTTCTTTTATTCATTTAATCCACGCATGACTGACTTGAATTGGCATGTTATTAAGTCTGGTATAACCGTGTGCCTGAAAAAAACAGATCACCAAGAAGGCATATTGGACTAATAGGCACGGTTGCTATTTAGTGGTGTTATTTTTCATTTGATTAATAGCAAATAAAAAAATGTTTACGAAAATTAATTGTGTTCGCGTAGGACATGTACAGTATTGGAAGTGGAGGAGGGACGCGGTGGTGGGGTGAGCGGGGATTGAGGGCAATGGACCGCCAAAGCAATGAACCGCCACCGTATGTGGTATCCCTTGTGCGGAGTTAATAAATCAGTAGTCACCGCAAAGTCAGCAGTGGTATAATTGAAAAATTAGGCTCGAGGCGACAAGTGGCCTGTTTACAGGTAAGTGATTTATGATGTAATAAGCAGTGAAGCGTCTAGGCAGATAAGATCAGCCCCATGCCTTGAGGGGGTGTGGGGGGGGTAGGGGAGTGCCCAGCCACACGGGCAGTCTGGAGCCAGAGATAAATAGGAAGGACGGGGCCCACTAGGCCTTGTGCAATATAAAGTACAATAGGCAGCCACTCCGAGTAATAAAGCAACTTTATCATGAGCGCACACAGCTGGCGACTGTAATGGCTTTCGGAAGAAAATATTAAAGCGGGTTTGCATTTAGCCCTTAGCTAATTAAAAAGTAATGAATATTTAAATAAAATATGCCAATGTGTATAATATTGTATGTCAAGTACATCAATTTACAGCATTATTATTTAATATCCTTTTATAGGTTTTTACTATGGCCTATACTCAGGTAGCCCTTTTGTCATTGAACATTATTATGATTATTATTCTTCTCTGGACATCTGAAATCTCCTGTAATTTTAAACACCCCGAGGTCAAAAGGCGTCAATTTGGAGATCGTTTGATGCCATTTGCGTCCTGTCCGTGTGTCGCTTTGCGAGCCTTACTTTGGCATTGCGCGGTTGGTTGTTCGGGTGTTTTGAGTGAAAATCTGTCGCCGATATTCCACACACAGTCGCAGAAATCTATAGCCAACAGAACACTGTGACGGGGCAGGGAGGGAGCGTGAATGCACCGGTGCGTAGCGGCTGCGATAAGCGTGTCCTTCACCCCTGTGCCCGTAATTCTTTTCCGAATCCTGGCTGGATTAAGTCTGATCCCCATCTAGATGGATGCATCTAGTTGTAAAGAGATGATTGAATGAAGTGCATGATAAAAACATTAAAAACAGTTCTGTGGAACGGTCATTTTTCGAATTGTCTCGTGGCACAGAATAAAATAAACCACCAGCTGAATCTTTGTCCGTCGATAATTAGTATGAAGTGGCTAGAATGGTGGGAGGGGGGGGGGAAGTGTTCCCACTATTTATTTACATAACAATGTGTGGTCTGTCTGTGTGGCGGTTGATAAATTCTGTTGTCTCGCCACTGCTTATTAAAAGTAATTGCTAAAAATGCGCCTGCAGCCAAACGGGCCTGTTTACCTGATATACTAAAGTCAATGCAAACGAAAAACGGCGTTATATTTGCTCTTATTATTTTAATTGGTAAAACATATATGCTTGCTCATTTTTTTGAAATTAATTATAGTTTCTAAAAACTATGGCATCTTGCGTATTCAACGCCGCAATGTGAAACGTGTAAACGGAGTTAGTATTTTAAACGTAAGATGGTTAAGTTTGCAGCACATGAATTTAAACCTAAAGATAAACAGCTGTAGTGGGATAACGGCATGTATACATGTGCCTTCTTATGGCGAAAGGTAATTAAGTTACATGGTGTTATGCCGATAAGATAATGCCATTTCGCTCTGATTGGCGGTTCATGGGAAATGTGGACAAAGAAAGCCCTGGGGGTGTTTTTTTTATAATTCATTCTCAGTTAAATAAAACCCAAGAAGGAACTGATATATATCTTGAATGCAGCTTTCAATTCAAGGTAAATGATCCATGTTCGTTGATTTACAATTTCAGGCAAAATTAACTAGAATTTTTTTTTAAATGTAATGCACATTAATCACCCCGCAGCTCCCCCTTTTAAAAATTTAAACTGCATACATTGCTAACTAATGCTCGCAATTTCAGGTCACTTATTAAAGTGCAATTTGGACGTGTGTTTATATTTCGGAGTGGACTCGTTTAACGCGGAAGCGCATCTTGCATTAAAAATATATATAAAACAACGCGGCAAGGCAAAATGCACACAAGCATGATATTGTTTGAGAAATCTTCCTGCTTTACAAATGCCTTAATTCTCGTTCACCAAATACGTGTTTGTGTATCTGCTTTATTTATTTTAAAGGTTGACGTTTAGACATTGTCAATACGATGCGCTTGATTATTTGTTGGCATCGAAATGAGCAATAAAATTGGTAGAATACAAGTTGGACTCTCCTTGTGGGTTAAACCGTTTGCTCGCAATTACACGCGTGCGCTATTTTAGATTTTGGCACGCATACTTTTAAAAGCATGCCAGGTGCTCGCACAAAACACGAGTGTTTGGGTTGCAGCTTGGGGTTCTCGTGACACGTCGTTTTGCTTCGCAAGGCCTCCATCTAGCAGTGGATTACAAGAGGGATGTAAATTATTTATTAATTTGAAACGTGACTTTGCACACACAAGCAAGTTGTGCCGTTGGTGACCCTGTTCAAAATCGCTGTTTTTCAGGATGTTTGGAAGCAGTGGAGCCTGCAACGCTTGTGGCCAGTCTATCCCAGCCAGCGAGCTGGTCATGAAGACGCAGGGCAACGTCTACCATCTCAAGGTGAGCACCGCCGTCGGATATCAATTCCAGTGATTTCATTCTATTGCCAGTGCGCTCGGGCAGGGGAGGGGAGTAGGAGCGAGGTGAGGTAGGGGGACGAGAATCGGCTTATGTCATTCCTTGTTAGTGTGCCCACGCATTGTGTACTCCAGCCATCTTATACTACTGGCACGTTTGTAGCTGCAAATAGCTTCAACAGTCTGAAATGGTTCATTACATTTCATGTACTTTATTACCGTAATACATTTTCTTTGGACCAGATAGGAAGTGGAGGTAATGAGAATTTAACAATGAAGTCGTAATCACATTTTCTCATATTGGCACTGACCTCCGGATGCTTGGCAGTTGCTCGGCAACACGGGTGGAGGCATACACATGTTTAAAGCGCATCTTGTGGCAGAGTAAAACGGTTATAACGAGGCAATATGGCAATTTAAATTCTATGAAAAGCTTTCCACGTTTTGCGGATAATTTAGTGCCGGATTGCTATTCATCCCCGAGCCGTACGCTTTACAAACAGGACATTTTAAATTGAAAAATTAGATCAATCTCCACGGGGTCTTGGCAAAGTCTGTTGGCTTGGACTGCTAAACTTAACATAGCAAATAAACATTGCAATATAAAATCATTGTTGTAGCGTTTTTTTACTTCCACATAATACTTAAATGTTAAATTCTCTTGCTGGTCATCCTCGTAGCTTTTTTAACGTTAGATGTAACCTCGTGGTTAAAGACAGCGGTTTGGATCATCACTGCGATTTTTCCATCGTGTCAATCGACAAGCCTGCGGAGTGAAGTGGTGAGGTTGTGGGGTGTGGGGAGCAGAGGGGATCGGGGTCATGAAAGGTCCACATGGGTGGTAGAGTGCAGTTTTGTGGTGTTTGTTGGGAGTGCAATGTGGTGGAGGAGGGTGTTTTAAAAACCGATGTTGTTGACGGACACATTTCCTGTTGCCTAAATTCCTCCCCTTCTGTGTGTGTGTGCTTGTGCGATGGTGTTTTTGTTTTTTCTCCTGCGCAGTGTTTTGCCTGTGCCACGTGCCGGACCCGGCTGGTTCCGGGCGATCGGTTCCACTATGTTAACGGCAGCTTGTTCTGCGAGCATGACCGACCGGTGGGCCCAGGCCCACTCACCGCCCACAGGGGCACCCTGGGTGATGGCAGCCTGCCCAGCCACCCACTGGCACCACACACGCTTGCGGATCAAAAGGTGAGCCACCCCCCCTCCCACCACTGCCACTTAAGACACTGATGCCCCCCTTACCCTCATGATTAACCCCATGGGCTTAACCCTCAAAAGGTGAGGTTCTCATCCCCTCATTTACTACCTGTGCTTCCTCACCTTAATTTGGACAGCTGACAATGTCTTCGCCTACATTTAACCGTAACCTATGCCCTTTTTAAATTGGAGAATGCGCCCCCCCCCCTCAGTTCAGCAGTTTTATAACAAGAAGGTTATATACACACAGTGCCCTTGTATCATTCTGGGATGTCGTAAAACCCCATGACACGATGATATGATTTTTACAGTGGTCGAGAAAATTAGAAAAAACACACTTTTTTTAAGCTCATTTTTTCGTCTGCCAAACAAGAATCTGGCTCTGAACCTGACCTGTAGCAGCACGTAAAAAGGACATTGGAGTGTTTTCCAGAGAAAATTGGTTGAAAGTTTTTATCCAAAGAAAATCAATAGCGGTGGATTTAAGAGTTTCTGTGTGTGACTTTAAAGGTCATGGTCTGGAGCTTCATTAGTTTCCCATGGAGATTATACCACTAATGTGTACTTTTTTGGCAAGTAAAGCTTTAATCGGTGGATACACAAGTGGGCTATGGTATTTGTCCATATATATGTGTGCAATGTAAATCCTAGTCGGCCCCAAACACCAATTCCCTATGTATTACAAACATAATCTGTCTTCGGCGGTCTAGTCAATTTAGCACTTGCTACATAATACATCATTGAGGTTTATACACGTATATCTCACTGCTGTGTGCAAAGATAGGCGAATGGTAAGAGTTAAAATGGAATGGGAAATTTCCAATGACACGAATAGAGCCTGGAGTTTATCCTTGCGTAAATTTGTGGCCTGCAGCAAAGCACTAAATCAAACTCTTAAGCAATTTGCATAGGGCTAATTAAAATTTAATGGGCATATTGAATTTATTTGCCACCCAATAGTATTTGCAGGACTCATTCAACTGTTGCACATACTTTAGCGTGGGAATATTGTGTTGCGAGACCATTTAGAGTAAGAGGAAGACATTATCATAAATCCTTAGGCGTGGGCATTGTGTTGATCAACTAAAAACGTCTTAGAAAATATTTGAGTCGGATTTTATGAAAACGGCTGCTTGGCGACTTGCTGTAAAAAAAGTAAAATTGTATATTTCTTGACAGCATAAAAGGAGTCTCTTGTTTTACATTTGCACCCTCTCCTTTGCATTTCACAGCACATGTCATTGTCACAGCCATGCATCATGGGGTTTTAATTTCAGCAATTGGGTAAACAATGTCTACATGCTCTGCACGATCTCTTGGTGCCAACTTCGCCCCATTTTAAATGAAGCTGTCCAGCACTAACGTGTAGCTGCATTGTAGCCGCTCTGATTAACATGGTTTCATAAGTCCCACTTTTTTTTTTACTACCTTTTTATTATCGTCAGGACAAGCAATTTTCCAAGCGTAGTACCCCCCACTTCCGTTATGCCGCAAACACTGACCTCAACATCCATCATCGGTTGACAGTCGGACATCTGCATTATCATAAGCATTGCTCCTAATCCAACCTTGTAATTTTGTCCTATTTCACATGACTTTTGAAAGCTTGGTAACATCCCCTACCTGAAAGCATCTTTGCGAATCCATATTAAGGATAGTGCCTCGCAAAGTCAAGGGCCGCATTACTCACTACTCGATGGCTTCTTGGTTTGCAGTGTGTAGTTATGAAACTCTTGAGTGGGATAATTAGGTCTGTGCGTTGGCGAGTTTTGATTTGTAGCGTGTCATCTATGCCTACCGTGGGTGTGAGTTAAAAAGTGATTTAGTGTTGCGAATTGTTCACGCACATTTATAGTAATTAATACAACCGCTCAGGTAGCGTGTGTGGGTTTTTGCGCAGACAGGCTGATGAGACGATTGTTCACGTGATAATTGATTCAAATATATTAACGGAGCAGACGTAAACGTACGACTTCATCAGCGTGCTTAAGTTATTACGGAACCAATCATTGTGAGCTTTCGAAATAATTTCATGCTTGAAATTTCAGTGTGGTGCGCCATACATCCCCTGTGGTTGAACATTATATTTTACTTCTGTGACAACACCTTGAGCTAGTAAATCCCGAGACGTTAAAATACAATTCCCAAAGTCTCTGATTATATGCATAGTGTATCAGCCAATTTACATATAACCGAAAATAGGCATCTGAAACTTCACATTGTTAGAACCCTTAGAACTAACAGCGATCCCACACATCAAAACTGAGTGCCAAGATATGTCTGCAGATACTGCGCGCGAGGTAATATTTCTTTAACTTTGGCTGGATTGATCATATCTCCACAAGTGTCAGTTTGGAGGAACCATAAGGTCGCATTTGTCAACAAACTCCAAACGGGGGAAAAAACCCCAGGATATCTTTAAGATACACATGTGACCGAGCCTGTTACGATTTGAGAAGGCTTTTTTGCTCTCTTTGATGTTGTGACCCACATGTGGTTAAGCTCTCTACTGTTTCAGCCCATTGTACATAATTGATGAGTTTACCAGGGGCAAGTTTTTAAACTAAACATTGGCTCAGCCGCACAATGCAGATATGGGGGTTTGTGGCGTTTTGCAAATTAAAAAAAAAAAATCTAAAGAAAATAAATATTAAATGCGCATTGTAGTTATGGTGTATCATTGCTATGATATTTTTTTATAGTGCAATAAATTAGGTTTTATTGGTCAATCAAAGCATAGTCATTTATATCACATCAATCTGCATAAGCAACCCATGGAAGTGTTAGGTGTATTTATTGATTCATTATACACTATTGAGCAATGCAACGTGTATACTGGCAGCGTTCTCTACATTGAGGCAGGTACATGTGTAGTGACAATTTATTTTTTAATTCTCCACAATCTTCTCTTTTTACCCCTCCACGAATAAAAATTTCAAGTGTGGTGTAATATTTCCATGTAACTGAAGCAGGAAAGTTTTTTAAAGTTGAGAAACACGTCATAGATACTTATTAAACACGGTCACATTTTGAGAATGTTGTAATGTTTGCATTTAACCTTTGAGACAGATTTGGGAGAAAAAAAAATATTTGGCTTCATGTCTGACGTAAATCGATGTTTTAAAGAAACACTTTTAAAAGTAAATGCATAGAAATCTGAACCACATGCCGTAGCGACGCTTAGAAGTTGTAGTTTGCACGTGCCTTATTGGAGTTTTCTGCAAATGACAAGAGTTCTGTAAAAAGCGATTGCAGCATGTGTGAGTGGTGGGGTCTATTTTTTTGTAATCTAAAAGTTGAAACAACAAAAAAGTTAACTTCTCGTATGGCTTTAAACGAGTTGGGAGACCGGATAGAAGAATTATTTAAGTGATAGGTGCTTCGCCTCGCAGGGTGCACAGTGTAGGAAGCATTGCTTTTGTGTGGAGCTAAACAGAGGGCAATTCAGCCCCAACATCTGGCAGATGCATGCACACAGACCCCACTGTTCAACCCCCTGTGCTTTAATGAACAAAACATTCAATTGGGGGAAAACAGTAAACCCCTTTCTTTGGATGCATATTGCTCCATTTGGGTTGGGATTGGATAAATCCCGTGGAAAATAAGCGAGTCGCCAAAGGCAAATGTGCTGGTTGCTTAAGTGGTTACAGCTAAACCAATATGATGCAAGCAGGCTTTTGAGATTTAAAAGAGGGTTTAGAACAAAAAAAAGAAAGGGAAATAAATAAAAGAAACGCTACATTGACTAAAAACCTAAACATCGCAGTGCGTGCCTGCATGCATGTGGCTTGTGCCCCACAAAGCAAATCGTGAAGGAGAAATTGTGCTTGTGTTTTTTTTTCTTTGTACAGAATGCCTGGCAAATGGTTTTCTTTGCACTTATTCGTTTTTTTGTATCAAACCATCTTGTTTCAGGTGTGTTGAAGAGATGGGAGCCTGAGACTCGGTGCCTTGATTTTGCCTGCAGATGGCTGAACCTATCACACGCCCCGACGCCGCAGTTGTACAGAGTTGTTGGGGATGGTGGGGGGGGGAAAGGGGGGCAGAGTTGTTTGTCCTGTGTGGGTTTCCCATTACTGCCTGCTAATTACCCATGCCTGAATGTTTCCATTGTCGGGGAGGGACAGGGCTGGGGTAACCGCTTAATGAGGCCCCGCAGCCAATCCACCCAATGTCCTGTATCCAGAGCTAATTAGCCGCTTGAATGTTAATTTGCTAATTAGCAGAGTGAATGTTAATTAACACACCTAATGACTATTCTTCATCCGTGACTCCATGCTAATCAAAAGTTTATCAGAGTAATTATCTATCCTTGCATCTATGGCATAATTAGTTCATTAAGATACAGTAGGCGGAGAATATATCATAATAACCACATAATGCATTTGACATTACTGGGTACAATAAGCCTTATTAATTTTCACACTTCTGCACTATTATCTTCCTAGTCCAGCTGCGCATACTTTGCTTTTTAATGATCAAGTCTTTATTTTCCACGGAATGTGATGGGTCTGTGATTATGCCCGTTTTGGTAATTTTATCTGTAAATATTAAGTAACCTTTTTTCCGTTGCTGTGCCATCGTTTAAACCCTAGCCTTAGAAAGCCCCCTGGCATTGGTTTGGGTCCATTGGGTGTATCTATCGCACGTTGACTGGCACAGAGAAAAAAAGAAACCCTGTTGTGGTTGCCCTGTCAGTTTCCTTAATTGTACATTGCTTTTTTTTGTTATGTACAGAATCTTATTTGGAATTGTTTAGATAACAATGAAATAAAGGGATTTGTATTATATTAAACACGCGTTGCTGTCTTTGTTTTAGAACATTGTCATCGCTCGCATACTTGGAAGCACTTAAAACGTGTCGCAGTATATCTTAAGCAGGTGTTGCATAACGCAATTGCCATAATTAAAATTGAGTGCTTTATAGCCTGTCGGCAGGTGATGGTTAATAATTTGGCTACATCGTCACAACACAAAGGCTATATGCTAATATGTTAAAAGTTTGGCATCATGTTGTGCTCTAGATTTTAAAAAAAAAATGTTTTTTCAATATATTACAGCCAAAAAATAAGCATGCTTAAGGCCTGACAATATAATTAAATCATTGCAACAGATACAAAGGGAAAAAAAAATACCATACACCCACGCACACAAATTGACATTTCATACTTGCTTTCATACCTAATAATCCATCGTGTTAGTGACAGAAAAGGAAACGCATATCCGCTGTGCTCGCGCTTTGATGTGTTGGTGTGTTTAACAACGTGACTAAGCTTCACATTTCAATTCCAACAGCCATTTGCAGCATCAATTCATTAAATCGGTAATATCATCACGCCGGAGCCCAGCGGACTTGTTGAGGTTTAGATCACCTGCTGTTGCACAACGGCGTGTGGGTTTTTGTGTGGCAATTCTCGCCTCGTGAGATTTAGCAGAATTCCAGATTCATGATTGCAAGGTTAGACATCATCGGTATCTTGACCTCCTTGTGGGCCTTTAGCCGTGTCTTGTTCCTAGCGGTTTTAAACCTTGTAAAGGGACCGTTACGGGGCTGATGAGGGCATTTACGGCTTCTCTGCCTTTGGGGAATTGTCCTCTCTGCTTCCTCAATTCGGATTGAATCTTGGCAGCATTGCTGGTAATAGTTGTTCCAAATACTGTACTGCAATACAACATTCATTTCTGTATTTAGACTGGCGTACTGTGCAAGATTGTATGTGTTTTAATTGCACATCAATGCCAAAAACAACGAAATATTGCTAAAAATATTTCTTGCCCTTCAAAAATTATGCGCAATCTGTGGGCCTTTAAATTATTCCACTCAGATGCACAACTGAGATGTGATACTTAATTTACTGTGCGGTCCTGGTGTCAACATAAGGTCATGTGTCACTGCAGATAAGATGGACACGTTCGGATAGATATTCAATATGCATTACGTAAAATTGACATAACGTAATTAGAAACATGTTAAGATAAATTGCCTATTACAGATGCAGGAAATGTTGGTTTGTTGCAAGCCATGTAATTAAATACAGATACCACCACAGACCTTAAAGGTCAAGCCAAATGAAAAAAATATTTCTATTTTGCTACATATTTCAAAAAGTAAAGCATGTGATAAACATTTTATATGGAAGTGGCATTTTTCATTTTATGTTCAAATAAAAGGTCGATGCGGTGATGTCTTTTCAGTGCATTCTTTTGCAGGTGCACCCATAGACCAAGCCATCTATTTTGTAGCACTCTTAAGCTTATGATTATATTTCAATTTAGGTAAGTGTTCTCCATTTGTAAATTAGAATTGCAGTTGGGAATCAGCACTTAGAGGAACCTCCCAGTGCCAAGATATCAATTAAAATGAAGGTGCGACTGCCGGTTGTTTTTCAGTTATGCTGGACTTCTCGAATGTCAGCTACATCTCTCCCAAGTTTTCACAATTTGCTATTTGAATGTCAGTAAATCACCTGACAAGAGAGGCATTAATATCTACAATCACACAACTGTTTATGCCTTTGGCCTCCTAGGATATTAATATTTCAACAATAGCATACATTTTCAAAGGAACTCCTTCACATCCCAGAAATGCATGTTCATAGTTTATCAGTGGCGAGAGATAACTGAACCGCTTCTGAGTAATTTTTTATCGACCTACGCTGAGCAAGAATGGTCAAACAACCCCTATAAGCGATACGGCATGCGGAGGGCCTTGATGCAGTTCAAGGCCAGGTAGAGCTCTCTGCTGCTGTGAGCTGTCTCCACTCGCCCACGTGCAGCGCTGTCGTGCTGGTCGCGCCTCCACCACGCACGCTGCTAATTACGCACCTTCACTCGCCCATATCCCCTGCCTCTTCCCCCCCACCCACCCGCCACCAATCCCTACAATGCCCGATATCCATATTCTGGTTCCAAACACTCAACCGGTAAACACAAAATAGATGGGGTTTTTTTTGCGTAAACGAATCACGCGCGAGGTTGATGCTATGGAACGATAATGGCATGGATATTTCCATTTGCTTTTTGTCCACATTACACCTTTAGCATTGGCAATATTAATAAAGGTAATAAAGGGATGAATTGTGCGCGACGGAATTGTATTTTGTGTCCTAGTTATCTGGCATGCACTAAAATTATTAAGTGTGCATTATGCTATTGCATTCATTTATTGCATTTGTTTTAATAAATTGCAATTCGATTGCATTCATCTCGAATGTCATACATTGGCAATGATAACGTACTTCATTTTAAAGTGATTATTAAGGACTGGAAAACCTTTAGACCTCTAGCAAGAGCCAATATTATTTGTAATGATGTAAAAAGGCACAACGACCAACCTGTCGTATGTGAAGACATTCACTGCACAACTGTAATGGTGCTCATTGGAAATTAATTAAAATAAAACTGGGCCGTACGCTTTTATAATGTTTTAACAAATGAAAAATCATCTTAAGCCAATATTGGTGCAGGTGTAGTCGCCGCTTCTGATTGGCGGTGTGACCGTGGCAATGCCTGGCGTCCTCACTAATAACTTGTGGAGCTTAAAGGGTTTTAAATGAACTGGTGTGACGCCAACTCATTAAATGAGGTTGTGCGCACCGCATGTAAGTGTACACAAAACGTATTAGCTTGCGAGAAATTAAAAAAAGTGTGTGTGTGTGCAGGTGCTGTGTGCAATGGTAATCTGTTTCTATGCACCGCTTGCGTGTCTGCTTTATTCATAAGACAAACAAAGGCGGAGATGTATATCAAATAACAGCATACATTTGTGAGCAGGCCATGAACATACTTTGCCATCGTGTCATTCACGCGCTTGCTCTGTGATGAAGAAGGGACATTTGCCCGAGACGGCTTATTGTAACCACCTTGTATGTTTCAGTTGTTTGGCAGTCGTTTGCTCGTGACCCTCGATGAATTCTAATCGTATGTGCGCCTTCTACATAGTTGAAAATGCGGATCGACAGTCGTGTATCAATCGGAGACGAATTGCAGGAAAAAAATAGGTCGACGTTAAATGTTTCCACGCTGTATGAAATATGTTATACATCACAGTGCATTTAAGCATGCCCTAAAATTTAATTATTGTGTTCGCCATATAAACAGTCATTTGTAATAAAGAACAAATACGTGTATTCAAAAATTAAAATTTCGATTAAAAAAGTTGTACGCTTATTTATGACACAATTTATGTAACTTATGACCAGTTCAAATCCCATTTATGCAAGTTCCAATTATTTGTTGAAATCGTAAAAAAAAGCAGAAACACATACTCTGACGGAACACGGCACAGCGTGTGCGTATTCCTTGGGCAGTAAGTGACGGAGGAACGGCATCAAATTGATGACATAAAGAGGTAGATAAGAAGCAGTTTGGAGTGGTGGTTTTGGAATTGAAACTTCATAGCGAAAAGCAACAAACCAATGTGCCTGAATATTCTTTTTTTTTACCGGGGGGATTTTTCCTACTATGCTCCATATATATGCATCACTGTTCAGTAGCATAACTCCTGATGTGCCTCTTGCATTGTTTCCAATAGAGTTATTAGTTTTATTCATGAACTATATTCGATTTAATTCTAGATTTGAAGCTTTCAAGACTGCAAGGATTCATACTCTTAGGTTCTTCGGTAAAGTCACGTAGGTAAAATAAAATAATAATCGAAAATAACTCAATTAAATGACGACGTTTCGGAAGCAACACAAGCCTCCGTCATCAGGTGTAACTGCTCCAGTCAAATTACTGTAGCGTGCGATTTGCCCATTTATCCGATTGATTGTTGTAATAAACTACGTTTTGTGGTTTATTACGTGGGCTCATTTGAAAGGTGGTGGGCCACGTTATCATCCGAACCTCCTGAAGGTGGGAAACCCCATACAAGCCACGCCCAGCGTAGCGCAGATGATGATGCCAATGACGTTTCTAAGCCCTGCCCATCACTTCCCGTACAGCGGCACACATCAGCAAGAGAGGTGAGACCTCTATTTTTCCACGTACGTAATTTTACTGTGACTGATTATATTATCCGAGTAATGGAACGTATAATTGGTATACTCATTAATGAATCCATCATCTTATGGCCCAACTCGAATTCAAACAATCGAGCTGACATTGGAGCCCCTGCTTTAATGAGGAAAATGTTACCTCTTTCAATAAACAGGTCCGGGTAGATATTCCAATGTCAAAATCTCAGTGCGAGACTGGAATTGTGACACCTATATTGCCCGCACATGTCCTGTGGTGTGTCCGCTTCAGACAAATGCCGGTTAGAAATGTATAAGTAATGAAATAAAATGACTTAGGCTGCACACCAAAAACAGCAAAGCACGTTTTTTTGTGTGTCTGTCACCAAAGTGTGCCCCACGTTGGATGCACGATCTGAAAGCATGACACAGCGTGGGGTCTTGGCACAATATGCATGCCAAATGTGCTGCAGTAGCTATGTCGAATACTAATAATCATCATTGTCAGCCCTTTGTCAATCCACTGCTGGATGAAGGCGTCTCACACTGCGTTGGCCACGGGGATTAGGGGGCGACGGGTGCTTGTTGGGACGGCGGTGGCTAGAACCGGTTCACAATTCATATTCGTCATGTTTCTAGCACAGTGCGCTAACCACTGTGCCACCGCTCTACTGCCAATGTTGCATATGCTAATGAAAAAAACCATAGGTGAAGCTGTCGGGTGCATTCTTAAGAGGGTACA